ATGAATGTTTGATACTAGTTTAGTGTTCACATTAGCACTACTGCTGCAATGAGGGAAGTCTCAGAAGCATCCTTAGAGCAGCTCTCTCACTGTGTTACGCATCTGTGGTGTTCAGTGTCTGTGAATGGAAAGAAGCCACAAGGAGAAGCTCTACGGCCTCTGACTGCACCCAGCTGCACATGGCTTCACTGTTTGGGCCTAATGAGTAGCTGAGGTGTTAGACACAACAGAGTAATGAAAGAAAAAGGAATGCTAGTCAAGAAAATAGTGTCTAGCTGCAGCCATGATGATTACCAATGTATGAAAATCATGGAGAAGAAGCAGCATCCCCCATCTCATGCTAGTTGTTGTGCCATTGCTTAGCTAGTTTCACTGTCACTGGTTGTTGCTTCATTGCACTTGGTCATAAATGAAAGCTATCTAATGCTAATGACCACAGTGCCCACCCTAATCGTGCATTTGAAATATTAATAAAAATAATTTATGTCATGTGACTGCTTTTTAACTAGCTGCTTTCAGGACTTTAGATCAGGATTATAAAAGACGTGCATTTATAAATTATTAGCCTTGAGCACATAAGCACTGCATACTATGGGGAGCACTTTTGTAGCACTTTAAATTAATTTATTGTTATTCATTCCAGCTGTCTGTGATGTAAACCTTTGGCTATAAATTTGTACCATCATCCAACACACCATTAAACTAAAGTGGTGCCCGTGCTGGAGCATATAATAAAACATATGAATAAGATTTCTGTGGGGACACTTTTTTTTTTAAACTCTCTTCTCAGTTAATGGCACAAGAAAAGTGAGGTAACACAGTCACCCTGTAACTATGCATTCATTAAAATACGTCTGCTGGAGGGAGACTTTCAAATTTGCACTTCTATTGAATTCTGACTCAATGTTTTTCTTTACCATCTTGTTTCAATTCGTATCCTATCTCAAACAAAAGGTTTTGCCTGAATCCGTCATGAAGTCACCAAGTAGTACTGCAAGAAGATTTTGTTGAACCTGAACTTCTCCGTAATGAAAAAAGCTCCTGCCCATTGGATCACAGAAACACAAAAGCAGAGTGGTTTTATTGTCTTATCTCCTCAGCAGGCAGACATTCTTTCTCCTACAGATCACCATCGTGGTAACAAAACCTTATCTGCATGACTAATGCCATAATGTCTTAATCCACTTAATGGCATAGATACATTTCATAGCAGACCATTGGGATACAATTTCCTAACTTTTAAAGCAAGTAGTGGTCTCACAGTGCTCTCTTCCAAACTTTTCTCTTTCCATATTGGTTTCATCTTGTCCACTTGCTTGTTAAGAGTTATTGTGGCTTTTGCGACAGATGACCCCTGCCAAATCTGCTAGGAGGGAGTCCTGCCCATCTCATACTTCCACTGATTTCAGTAAGAGTTTGACAGAATTTCCTCCTGCTCCTCATATCAAATCTAGCTGTATGAGAACAGACAACGGAATGTCATGTTCTCAGTGGATAGAACACAGCACATCTCTGCTGATTTGTACCAGCTGATCAGATAATGCATACATTTCAGACCCAGTTTTCACCCAGTAGCAAGGTTTTTGGAAAAATGATTAAGAACAGAAAACAATATTCATAAAGATAACATTTTTTAATTTAACTAATCTCATTAATACAGAGAATATTTTTTTAATTCCTTCAAATGAAGGAATAAAGTTCTCTTTTCTGTTTATTTCTAAATCTTCACTGAATTTCAAGGTTTGAGAATCAAAGTTTTGGAATTACCACTAAGTTATCAACAAGGAGGATATCTGAATTACTTGGGAACATGTGTACCCCTGTAATTGCCTCTGACATATCAAATAAATAAATTTATTAATAATAATAATAATAGTAATAATAATTTGTCTATAGGAAGGCTATATAGTATGGTGTTAATCATAGTTTAAGCTTCTCTGGCATAGGTGGTTAGGATAAGAAATAGAAATTAGGTGCCTGATGTGCTGAAGGATCTTGGTTACTAGATGAGAGCATTAGCTGTTCCTCTAGCTGTGAGTGTGAAGGATTGGATGGCTGCAGCAGCCATCCTTGTTTTGGGTTCCTCTGTCCTGCAGAGATTCTCTGTTTGTGAGGAATGAAGATGTACCCTTCCACTTCCAGCTGTGCAGTAATTCTTTACTGGTGATTTTTTACATTTTGTCAGCAGGTATTTTGCCAAGGTAAACTGTGTTTGTTTGTTTGTTTGTTTGTTTGTTTGTTTGAAGATATATTTTAACTTAGTACAAAAGAAGATCGTCTGGGGAGTAAGGTATGTAGAGTTCTCTTTTTTGTTAATTGAATTATCGCTGTCATTTGATAAAACTTTTGAAGGTGAAATTCCTTTTGTGTAACACACAGCTTATAACTACAAAATGACTTAAATGTCCCCCAGAAGAAGAGATTGCATTGTGTTTGAGTTGCAACCGCTAAAATGACAGAATTCACCACTCAATCTTTTCTGTTTCCTGTGCCTTAGTTTCCCCACTGGCTATATAGAAAGAACGTGCCTTCTTTCCTTTGCACTTTAACTATAATATTTAAAGAGGTGGATGTATTCACTACATACTATCCAAGTTTGCTTAAATTTGCTTAAATCCTCTAAAGGTGCCTGATGGGGAAGAAGAGGTGCTTGTCTCCAATCTCTGATCCTGCTGACAGTGGAGATACCTGCTGTGCAGGCTTTTCTATCTCACCTTGTTTGGCATGACAGAGCTCTCTGTTCCATGGCAGAGCCAAGAACCTCCAGCCAGACATGAGGACTTTCATGCATGAAAAGCAGTGAAGAGCCATTTTCCTAAAGCATGCAACTCTTGTATATGATATAAGATAATGGGTGGATACCAAGAACTGAAGGTAACAGAATGAAAGAGAGTACATACTTCCACAGCTTGGCAAAAGCAGTCTCCAAAGTAGCTGTGTGGGTGGCACACCCATCTTTCCTCCACACAGCTGTCCTCAAACAGCTGTGGAAAAATAGTGCAAGGAGGCCTAGTGGCCTGTTTGTCCTCTAGCTCATGGACACAGTGCCTTGTGAGTACTGGAGGGCATCTGCTCATATCCAAGCTGTGAAAGCAGCTGCTGTGCCTGCCACATCGCAGCTTCATAGACACACCAGTGCTTGCAGTACTGTCAAAATGCACTTTAAAGCCCATTTCAGCAGCAAGCTCACTGGATTCTGTGCCAGGAAATGTTAATTACTGTGGTGCAGTGTTCTGTTTTCTGTGGTGCGATAACAATTAATTTATACCATTTGGAAAAACACTTTTTTATTAAAAATCAATAGAAGCAAATCAACACAGTGTAAAGCATACAATACCAAAATGAAAAGCTCTTGTTTTTATACCTGGGCATCCGTAATAAAATTGCACTGTAGATTCAGGCAGTTTGTCTACTGTAATCTAATGAGAAGCTGTCAAGCTTCTTTTAAGCATTCTGTAAATTACCATGCATTGGGGCAGCCATTTTTAGTCAAAGAATTCAATAATTAACCCCCAAGTTGTAAGTCAATATGATGATGGTGCAGGTGTCACTGCATTTGTCTCTCTGTACTGCATCACCTATGCACCTGACAATCTGTGGGACCCATTTTGAATTGAGAAGTTTAATTTTTATTTATAGTTATAATTAAAAAAACACTAGCTCTAATGAAAACTGCTCCACTGCTGGAACATATCACCACAGAGTAAATTCCACAGCAATTTTTGCATTTTAATAGGTCAGAGAGTAACACAAATGAATTGCTTCTTCCTGGGGGTACTTGTTTATTCTTCAGAATTTAATGATTTGCTGGAACACGGATCTCAAAGAAAAAAACACCCCACAGTTGTTTTTATACCATTGCCTCAACTGCACAAGGTGCTGCAGACCCTGAGAAGGCAGCCCACACCTGTAGTCATACAGCTCCTGAAGCTCCCCTGCACAAGGTTCTGGGGCTTACCTGCTAGCTCCTCAGCACCCTGCCACAAACTGGACAGGAGCTCTGGGACTTCTCCAGGATGATACAGCTCTACCACGGAAGTGCTCCCTTGGCCCACAGTGGGACACATCCAGCTGTTACAGTAAGGAATGCTTTGCTCTTTAGGCACAAGGTGCTGTTCCCCTCCCCATGTCCCACCAACACGGTCTGCACATTTATGAGTGCAGCCACTGCTACTACAGCTAGTCTTCTCTGGCTCAACCAGAGCAGGAAGAAGTAGGACAGTTTTAATCCAATGGAAGCACTCATGGAAGCAGCCAGGGTCATATCACTCTGAAAGGGCATATCATTTCCTTTCTCCAGACAGGACTACCATGGTCTTGAGTCTGACTATTTTAATGGTGAATTGATTTTTTGTGTGAAATGATCGAGATACAACAGTAGATTTTTCAAAGCCATTTGGTAACTCATGACAGTGGGCTGGGAGGACAGGTGTCACCGAATAAAAAGGTATGAAGTGAACTAAATTTAAAAGGAATGCAGAAGTTGTACAAAACAGCTAGAAACTCCTTTGCTTTGGTACAGCGATGCTGGGAAAATAGAAACAGTTACAAAAGAAGACTTTGAAATACAAAGTTTTTCAAAACAGAATATTTGATTTGGATTGTATCTAGAAATTGTGAAAGCTTAGCAAAGCATCACCAAGGTACTGCAAAGTATTTGTAATCTGCATAATCTTTATATGCTACAGTATTCTCCTCCACAGTGGGAGCTGTGATGTAACCACTAGTTTGTTATTGGGGTGGCTGACGCTAATGTTGCTCTTACATGTAAAAAAAAGACACGAGCTTAACTTGTTCTTTGTGCATGTCTAGTGGAAATGCTAAGTCACGGCCTGAAACAGTGATTGAGCACCTGGTAGAAAGGCAGGGCCAACCCAGGGGAGCTCAGGTGCATGCAATGCAGCTGAATGACCAGAAGGGGTGGAGCCAAGATCCATCCCTCCCCAGATCTCATTTAAGGGTTGGCAGGAGAGGTGAGGGTATCTCTTGCTGGAAATCCCTGTCTACCTGAGGTCTTTTCAGATAAGCAGTTCTTTTCTTTTGCTTTTGTATCTGTGGCATTTGGGTTTGTTCTCATTTGCTGTAGCTAAAGACTTTGCCACTCTGCTATTATCATCCCATCATAGCATTACAGCATGGTATTGTATATTTTCTCTTGTATATCCTGCCTACGTGGCCTTTATTTCATTTCTAGTTTTGTTCTCTGTGTAGTAAAATGCAACAGCTCCTTACTTTCCCATGCCTGGTCCAACTAACTATGACAAGCCCTGGAAACATGGGATGATTATTAATGTTAATAAGCCTTTCATCCTCTTGGAATGAGGATCCTAAGCATATTTATATTGTATATTCATGATGTTTGTATATATATTCATATAACTTCAGGCATTTTGGTAAGTCTCACTGAGGTAAGAGAAGATGTGCTTTAGGGCACGGACAACCACTAGCTATGAAAAATACTGGGGAACTTTTTTCTTTCACAAGGGTGATTGATTACTTCTGGAATAACTTCTCTCAGAAACTATCACTTGATCTGTATTTGAAGTGTATAGAAGTAAACTGTATGTTTGTAGTATCCTCCTACTGCAGAATTTATGATTTTCAATATGACTGTCATAGTTTCAAATAGAAACAGATGTTCTGCTGGGCATCCTGTAACAGAAAATCAATAGTAGGTGAACCATAAGTAGTCCTTCCCTCCTGAGAGGACTCCAATGTGACAGCTGTACAGAAACAAGTTCACCATTAGACGAGGCTAGTAGAGATGACAATAAAACCTGAAAGTTTTTGTGACGGGCTTAACAAATTCCCACTGTTTGGCACACCTTGGGGTCTTTGCCTGATGGCTTCTAGTTATTCTCCAGAGGAACTATGTGCTGCTTTCTATCTGCAGCCCAAGTGAGACGCTTTTTAGTTATTAGCATATACTTGTCCTAAATATTTGCATGGGTATGTTGGATAGAAATGTAAGGACAGAGTTTCAGAGAACACAAGGTAAGGTGTTACCTGTCCCAAAGAGATCAATATTTATCTTATCCTCAAAAAAGATAGCTAGGGGAAGAAATAGAAATGAAGCAATGCTTTTGCTTTTATTCAGAGGTCTATATGGAATGAGGAGTAAAAATTTTTTTCCTTCAAATATTATAGGAACAACACAATTAAGGGTTCTTTGGAATAGGAGATGCTTTACAGTCTTTAAATGTTTTGTTAGCCCTCACATTCAGGTAACATACAAAACATGAAAGAGGGATTTTCAGATGATACTCCTTTTTTAATAGATTTCAGAATACAGAGGAAAAGATCAGATACAAGCAAGCCCTATGGTTTTGATTGTGGTTAGCCCAGTGGTTCTGGTTTGCTTTAAGTAGAAGCTGCAGAACAATGGCTTAAAAGGAGAAAAGGAAAACTGCCCCAATGCTGAGGTCAGTCAGCCACTTCCTACATCCAGCTGTTTCAGTTTATTTTTTTAATTAAGTTTGGCTTAAATTAATGATGACAGTTTAAAGGGAACTTTTTCACCTATTTAGCTTATTTTATGTCTGAAATGGTCTTTTCTGTCCAACTGCATTCTGTTACAAGATTTGTAGTTAGGCTTCTAAAAGTTCCGGGTTTCTCCCCACTTTATTTTGTCATCTTTCTGCTCTGCTATTGCCCTCTGCCCTTTCATACCCTTTTAAGGGAGGGCTAAAGCTATTGCTGCTGCAGTATGGAAACAAAGTGCCTCTTAATTGATCATTAATACCACTGGAGTGTGGGGATGTTGGGAACTGCTAGATCAAACCATTTACTCTGGCTTCTGGCTCAGCTCTTCAGCTAGTATAAATCAGCTGTCCTTCCTGGCTTCCTAACAACTCAGCAAGGGTTGTGCTGCTGAAGTGTTGTTGGTGCAGTGGTTCTGGTCTGCTGCTCTCTAACAGCAGCTGGTCTTACAGGGCTGGCAAAATGAAAGTTTATCACAGAATGATTTAGGTTGGAAGGGATCTTAAAGATCATTGAGCTCCATCCCACCTGTTCTGGATAGGGCTGCCAGTTTGCCTGATCCTTTTGAATATATAGATATGCAGTTGTCTTTGCAGTTCTGATGCTCTTTCTAAGCCAGCATAGTGCCAGCTTTTTTCAATGAACTTCATGCTTGCTGTAGAAAAGGAAAAAAAGTCACCTGCTCTGGAGGTTTTGGCTTCATTATCGTAGAGATTACTTAAACTTGTGTAAGATATCAATTTAAGCCACATCTCTGGGCTTGCCTGCTTCTCTTTGCAGACCAATTTTTTCTTAGATGGGGAGACCTTGCCTTAGTGGTTAAAATAAGAGCTCATGACTCATAACCAAAATAACAAACAAAGAGCCGCTCCTTGTACCTTTCCACAGCTTGCTTGGAAAGCAGTAAGAATTGCACCATCACTCATACCAGATATAAACATGATCACTATGGATCCAGCCTACTGTAAACAGTAAAACCTTACATGTTTCTTAAAGTGAAATGAATCCCACAGCCTTAGCAGTAGTAAGCCTTGTGAAGCATAAAAAACTTCCTGGGGAATGATCTTTAACTGCAGTCTTAAGAGAAGGCTGCCAAAAATAAGCAGACTCTTGGTGTGCTGGGCATTAATAAGTTAGAATTAGGTTGTGTCTCATCTACTTCTCTCTTTTCAGTAAAAGTTAACTGCACTTAGTAAGAGGATAATGAGAAATCAGTCCCACACCTGCTATGAATTCCTGAGAGAAGTAGGGATGAGTTTGGAAAAACAATGGAGGATGCACTTGGTGAGTTTTTTTTAACTTTTTTGAGCTACGGTTCCTAAACTGCAATGTGGTAATAGTTATAGATGTTTTACATTGCTTGATTATAAGGACTTTCTTTTGCATTGAATATTGTTATTGAAATGAATATATATTTGATGTAAAATCAAATGTTTTTGTAGATATGAAGTGAAACCTCTCTTAGAAATCTTTGGGTCAAATTCAGATAAGATAATATACAGCTGTGAAAGTATCTTCATATAAAGTTGTCATAAATTAGGGTGAACAGCTAACTGGCACAGCTTGCAGTAATTTTGTGCTTTATCTGTTATAGGTCAGACTCTAAAAGCAAAAGCAATTGGAAAAGGTTCTTGTCTCTGCACTCCTTTAAAAGTACCTAAAAGCATCTAGTTTAGTTTGTATCTCTCTCTGTCCTTCCTGCTTCATTATCAAGATGTTTAAAATGGATTTTAAATGAAAATAGAAACATTTGCTTGAAAGAAAGCAATCTGATTGTTCTTCAAATCTGCAGGACCTATTTTACTGATGTTTGCACAAATTCAGAATTAACTTTGGCTGACACTGAACTGCACTTTGTGTTCCTCTGTGATGAAAGTCTCTTCTTCATTTGAAAAAAAAAAAAAAAAAAAATTTGGTTGTATTTCTGGTCTTTGTCCAAGGTGTTTATGACAAGACTTGTTGCTAATTTGGCCTCTGTTGGAGACACTACTTATGTTTAGGCTTTTCTTTTATTGGCAGCAGCCACTGTGTTCTAGGCTTTAATCATCAGTAACTGAAGAAATGAGAACAGGGTTGCCAAAGCAGAAGCCCCCTTGAAGATCCATTGAATTCACATCTGCATTTGCAGTGTTTTCCTAGTATTACCCTTCAATTCAGCAAGGCCTTGGATACCTTGGAAACTCATTCTTGTTCTTGTTTTTTTCCCACCTCTGACTTAAAACCATGTGTAAAATACTTATACAGGAATGGTGATGTCAGCTGAGCAGAGTCACTTGCCTGGCTTATTTCAAAGTCAAGTTTTATGGAATTTATCAAATGGTTTTGCAGAGTTACAAACCTACACAAAACTCCTCCTGAAATAAACTGTTGTGTTAGCCAAGTTTGGTGGATACAGAAGCATAATAAAATGAGTACTTTCTTTGGCATGTAATATTCAGCCCTTCACACTGTAGATAGACGTTAAGAGACAGAGGAGAATTTGCAGGCAGGGACTCCTGGGCTCTGGACCAGTTAAAAAGCTATGGTTCCCTGATGCCTCTCCCACCTCTCTGGCAGCAGTTGCTGTAGAAGTGGTGCAGAACAGGCAATTCGCTCTTGGGACATCACAGTTCACAGCACCATGTGTTAACTTCGACAGGCATTGATTTCAATTTATGTTAACGTGCCAGGCTGCAAGCTGCAGCAGGAGGGGTCTCTGGTTCGTGACTCCTGTCAGATTCAGAGAGCTGAGGTTATCACCTCAGCAGTAACCTCTTTAGCCACCAGAGCTGAATCCAATTCAGTCATGAATTGGTGTCCTTAAGTAATTTTCCTTTATAAAGGCCCAATGCAGTCATATTGATGTCAATAAAAAAAAAGTCCCAGATGAGATTCTGATTGTTTCCTTAATATGAATTTAAAAAAGCAGTTGAAAAGCTAAAACCAAAATGACTCTGAGGAATGGATTGAAGACTAACATATCACTTTCATATTTCAAAAATTTGTGTGTTAACAATTTAATCCTCACAGCTAGTTAATAGGAAAATAATTACCACTCTGAAAGACTGATCTACCTAAGATTACATTTTTAGTGAGAAAATTTATGCCTAAGGAAAAAATTGTATTAATATCTGGATGGACCTATCCACTCAACATATGCTTAGTCTTTCGTATGTCAGAGCTGTGGAGAGGCATCCAACCTATAATGGAGGATATAAAGTTTTGGTGAAAACTAAAGGCTATTGTAGGTAAGCTGTCATCTCAAAAAGGCTGATGTTACTGTACTTTCTAATACAGACATATAAAAACATGTTGGAAAGGAAAAGTGTTGCTCCAGAAAATGTCTTTCACTTTTGGTCTTTGGGCATCCTTACATCCTCCTGGCTTCTTTAGCAAACAAGCAACGTTAAAGCAAGTTAACTGCTGCCTTATATCTCTGTGTCTGTCTGTCCATCAGAGCTTCACCTCAGCTCATGGGGATACTTGCCCTGGTAATGATTAGGGAATAAAACCTCTGGCAGCAAGATCCTGTGGGAGGAGGGAATGTGCAACCCAATTGTCATGCAATGGATTCACCTTCCCCAGAGACAGCACAGCCTCATGTGGAGATGAACAAAAGCCATTTGCAATCTGAGGTCACCGGTCTCCAGATAAGAGATGGCATTGGACAATAAGGCTCAAGCAGGATGCTGAACAATGTTTTTAATGGGTTAGAGCCAGCTGTAGCAAACAACATGAAGGATTTATCTAGCTGCAGAAGTGGTACACAGCAGGCACTTCAGAGGGAAGGAGGGGAAAAATGAAAGAGGTTGGGGAAAGCAAGCAGCCAGGGAGAAACCTCTGGAAGATTCAGGCACACAGTCGGCTGCACTCATGCTTTATGTCACTGCAGAACATTAAAAGAGCACTTAAAAAGGTAATTAGCACCTTTTCATTGGACCAGAAATCAGAGGTGTAATTTACCAGAAGTCAGTGAACAATGTAAGAGATCTAATTTAATCACATTGCATAGCTTATCTAGGATGAAAAATGAGGAGCCTGGCTTGACTGAGTGGGTATGCCTCCAGCAAAGCCATCTCTGTTCCCCTGCAGGACAGTGCTGCTGCTCCGTGGTGAAACACAGCACGGGGTGCTTCTGCCTTTTGAATCTTGCTGCATAGTTTTCATTTTTTCATAGCAGAGGGTCTATGATATGCAGAATTAAATGCCTGTCTAGAAGAGATGACAGTCAAAATTATGCATCATAATACGAGTAAGTCTCTTCCAGTGCATCTGTGCAGGTGCTCCCAAATTCAGGGAGATGGGAAGAGACTAGGGCTTTTTATATGCCCTGTGCAGATAAAGATGAAGAGTGCTCTTTCAATATCCAGATTTCAGTTTAGATTTCAGACTGTCCTGTCTTTCCTTTAGAGTTAGGAATGGGTGATTCGGCTTATTTCTATTCTTTTCATCAAATGAAGAGTTCAAAAGGTCAATTAAAAAAAAAAAAAAACCTACTAAAATTTAAGTGCCATATAAAGAAAGTAAGTTTTAAGTCCATTATTTTTCAAACCAAAGCATAAGTCAGGTTTCCTTTATCGGGATTTCTTAAATAAAAATGTGAGCCATGGGTAAGCACAATTGTAAAGTCAAGCTGTTACCTGATTAACAAATCTGCAGTACAGCAAATCGTGCTCAACATTACACCACCTAATGAGGATTAAGCATTGTTCCCTGAACACTATTGCTTTTCCAAGTTTTCTTCTAGCTCTTCATATGTGTTTCTGTGTCAGCATGGAAAACTTGGAAGGCCTGGCTACAGGCCAGAATTGAACCTTCTGATTATACTGGTCAGCTCTTGATAAACACTGACTAATCCTTTCTATCAGCCCTTTTAAGGGCTTTCATAGTCGTGTTTGAGAGAGGACACAGCTGACCCTCAGCCACAGAGCAGGGCTCTGTGCCCATGCCCAGCCCCTCCATTGGTAGCTCCTGTGAGGCCAGCAGGGTGCAACTTGCACAGAGGTGATGTGGCCTGTACTCAGCATGTCAAGAGGACAGCTTCTGTTGGCTCCTACACCTGAGTGAATAGCCCGGACAAGTAATAATCAGTCCAAGCAAAGAAAATTTTAAAAAGTGGTAGTCAAGTTTTATCTGGAAAAAGTTCCAGTTTGCTTAAAAAAAATTCAACAGGCAGTAAGGGACATCAGTAAGGGACTCTTGACTGCAAGACATTTACTCATCTCCTGATTTATTACTGTGCTCCTAATTATTATATCTAATTATATATAGATTTTCCTAAGGACATCGGCAATGTAAAATGTACGTTGAAATCTTACTCTGCTATTGCTGAGTTGGCTCCTGGGACGTGAGGCATTAAATATCTGTATCAATGCTGATTTTGTTGTTTTTAAGTTGCTCAGCCATGTTGTTAATCTGTATTGTTTCAAACTTCTCCTTGCTCATTAAATTTATCTTCTATACTCTCCCAGTGTAAAAAATGTCTTTCCCATTCTCACATTTTCCTTGCACCAGATGTTTATTTTCCCAGCTGGCCTTATTTATTTTATAATCTTTTAAAATTATTTTTAAATCTAGACTGTGACTATTGATCATTCCAAGTTTCACTGTAAAACTGTGTCATGTGTTGCTTTTTCCTTTGTACTGCAGCCTGGCATCACTCTCTTGAACTCTTCTGTTCTTGGGCAGGATTTGTACTCCTTAGTGGATGTGATCTATTGTCACCTATACTCTATTTCATCAATAAGTAATATCCTACAAGCCTCTTGAAAGATTTGGACCTGGACGATGAGTCCACATTAAGTGAATTAGAATGTGAAGCCATGAGGAAAAGATACTTGGCTATAAAGAATGGAAGAGAGAGAACACTGTAATGGAATAATTACTTTTCACTTTATCTATGAGTGGGTAACAGGAGAAATTCTAACACTGGCATGTTGTTTCAGCAGCCCTATTTAAGAAAAAAAAAAAAAAAA